TGTTACCCTTTGCAGCTATGTTTTGGAAACTTGAAGTCCCTACTCCAGATGTTGGGAGATGGGAGTGGAAAAGTCATAGGGATACAGAGGGGTTGCAAGTCTGTGTAGGCTCAGATACCATCCTGACACACACACACACACACCCCAACCATCCCCCAGCAAGATATGCAGAGCTCATTTCTGTAAAAGCAGCCACACAGTTCCTGGAAGGCTGTAATCCACTATGGTTAAAAATATCTATCTTGGGGACAGAGTCGAGCCAACCAAACAGCCTACCCATAAACCCGGAAAATAAGCAGTGGGGTAAAATGAACCCAGTGGTAGGCAAAATGCTACCTATCCACAAGATAAGAGCAGGGATAGTAATAATAAGAAAAACAGATCAAGGCTGGGTGCGATGGCTCACACCTGTAATCCCACCACTTTGGGAGGCCGAGGCAGGTGGATCACCTGAGGTCAGAAGTTCGAGACCAGCCTGACCAATATGGTGAAACCCTGTCTCTACTAAAAATACAGAAATTAGTTGGGCGTGGTGGCATGATGTGTGGCTGTAATCCCAGCTACTCGGGAGGCTGAGACAGGAGAATTGCTTGAACCCAGGAGGCGGAGGTTATAGTGAGCTGAGTTCGTACCACTGCACTCCAGCCTGGACAACAGAGTGAGACTCCATCTCAAAACAAAAACAAAAACAAAAAACAACAAAAAAAAAACCTCCCAAAAAACAAAAACCAGATCAATCACTTTCACAGCAATTTCAGAAATTGTCCAGATTTTGTCTTTCTCTCTCCTGCAATGGTATCCTGACCCCAGGAAGCAGTATAGTATAATGGAAGGAGCTTTGGACAAGGGTTCTTATTCTGTTCTATCACTTCCTACCTAGATAACCTAGAAAATTAAGTCATGATTCTTTTCTCTTTCATTCTTTTTTTTTCTGAGACGGAGTCCTACTCTGTCACCCAGACTGGAGTGCAGTGGCGCAATCTTGGCTCACTGCAACCTCTCCCTCCCAGGTTCAAGTGATTCTCCTGTCTCAGCCCCCTGAGTAGCTGGGATTACAGGTGCATGCCACACACCCAGTTAATTTTTGTATTTTTAATAGAGATGGGTTAACACTGTGTTGGCCAGTCTGGTCTTGAACTCCTGACCTCAGGTGATCCACTCGTCTCGGCCTTGAGAAGTGGTGGGATTACAGGCATGAGGCACCGCACCCAGCCCTCTTTCATTCTTTTATTTTTTTTTTGAGACAGAGAATTGCTCTGTAGCCCAGGTTGGAGAGCAGTGGTGCAATCTCAGCTCACTGCAACCTCTGCCTCCAGGGTTCAAGCGATTCTCCTGCCTCAGCCTCCTGAGTAGCTGGGATTACAGGCGTGTGCCACCATGCCCAGCTAATTTTTGTATTTTTAATAGAGACAGGGTTTCACCATGTTGGTCAGGCTGCTCTCAAACTCCTTACCTCGCGATCTGCCCGCCCTGGCCTCCCAAAGTGCTGGGATTACAGGTGTGAGCTACCACGCCTGGCCTCATTCATTTTTTTAAAAAACAGACAAGGTCTTGTGATGTCGCCTAGGCTAGTCTTGAAATCTTGTGCTCAAGAGATCCTTCTGCCTCAGCCTCCCAAGTAGCTGAGATTACAGGTACGTGTCACTCTGTCAGGCCCAAATCATGATTCTTGAACCTGAGTCTCAGTTTTCTCATCTTTTAAAACACCAAGAAAACAAAACAAAACAACAAAAACCAAAAAACCACACATTTATTTCACATAAACAAAACAGATATAGTAACAGTATGGCATACACTTAAAAAAAAAAGTTTTTTTTTTTTTTGAGACAGTTTCACTGTTGCCCAGGCTGGAGTGCAGTGGCATGGTCTTGGCTCATTGCAACCTCTGCCTCCTGGGTTCGAGCGATTCTCCCACCTCAGCCTCCTGAGTAGCCGGGATTACAGGAGCATACCACCATACCAAGCTCGTTTTTGTACTTTCAGTAGAGACAGGGTTTTGCCATGCTAGCCAGGCTGCTCTCAAACTCTTGACGTCAAGTGATCCACCCAACTCGGCCTCCCAAAGTGCTGGGATTACAGGCATGAGCCACGACATCCGGCCAGGGTAGGACATTCTTAAGGGGTCACTTAAAAAATTCTGCCCACCGTAGCACTTATTCAAAAGATGAGAGGAAATTATCTCTTTGGTGGCTGGGGGAAGAAGCGGGAATAAATTATCTCTAACCATTTACACTAATAAGGGAAGCCAAGCATTTGGGATGAGAGGACTAACCTCATGCCTGGTATTCTATCCTTGTCTTCTGCCATTTCTAAAGTGGCTACTTTGATTACAATATGCTAATATTCACAGTGCCTTGAGATAAATGCTTAAAAATATATATATATTTTTTGAGACGGAGTCTTGCTCTGTTGCTCAGGCTGGAGTGCCGTGGTGTGATCTTGGCTCACGGCAACCTCTCTCTCCTGGGTTCAAGCGTTTCTCCTGCCTCAGCCTCCCGAGTAGCTGGGACTACAGGCACGCGCCACCATACCAAGTTAATTTTTACGTTTTCAGTAGAGACGGCGTTTCACCGTGTTGGCTAGGATGGTCTCCGTCTCCTGACCTCGTGATCCACCTGCCTCAGCCTTCCAAAGTGCTGATTACAGGCATAAGCCACCATGCCCAGCCAAAAATAAATTTTAAGGATGCCTGGGGACAAAAAGATCTTCCTGTGTTTTACTTTTTCCTCATCAAATGGTGAGAACACCAAGATATCCAGGAATGTCTCCTAAGAATACATGTTGGAAAATGCATGCTATTTTGAAATGGCCCAATAAAGACAAAGTTTTGGCTGGGCACAGTGGCTCACGTCTGTAATCCCAGCACCTTGGGAGCCCGAGGCAGGCAGATCACCTGAGGCCAGGAGTTCAAGACTAGCCTGGCCAACATGGCAAAACCCTCTCTCTAAAAATACAAAAAATTAGCTGAGCCTGGTGTGGTGACACATGCCTGTAATCCCAGCTACTGGGGAGGCTGAGGCAGGAGGATCGCTTGAACCCGGGAGGTGGAGGTTGCAGTGAGCCAAGATTGTGCCAGTGCACTCCAGCCTGGGCCAACAGAATGCAACTCTGTCTCAAAAAAAAAAAAAAAAAAAAAGTTTTATTGCTCAGAACTTGAGGGACTAGGACAATATTCTCTACTCACTACTGTGATACTACTGCTCTCACTTTTTCTATTCCTGAATTATACATGAATACTCCTTCATCTCATCTGTGAGGAGACACAGAGCTGCCCTAGGTTCCCAGACACCAACTCAAGCCAAATTACCAGTGTAATTACCTGGTCAGCTTTCTCATCCTGATGCTCTTAGAAGGCCTCAAACTATTAAATCCATCTTGAAAGGGAGGCTGGAGCATGGTTCTTCATTACTGTTGTTTAGCATTGAGGTGATTTCAAAGGGCACCATTTGCTTCTAAATTTAGGACGGCGCAAACCTACTGATGCTCCTCCTGTGGTGCTGAAGAAACACAACTGACTCTTGTAAGAAACTGAGAAGCAGGTCTTACTGCCTTCAGCATCCCTGGGTTTTCTCTCTAGATGCCTTCTGGCCACACTTTTATTTTTGAGATGGAGTTTCTCTCGTTACCCAGGCTGGAGTCCAATGGCGTGATCTCGGCTCCCCACAACCTCCACCTCCCGGGTTCAAGCAATTCTCCTGCTTCAGCCTCCCAAGTAGCTGGGATTACAGGCATGTGCCACCACACCTGGCTACTTTTGTATTTTTAGCAGAGATGGGGTTTCTCCATGTTGGTCAGGCTGGTCTCAAACTCCCAACCTCAGGTGCTCTGCCTGCCTTGGGTTCCCAAAGTGCTGGGATTACAGGTGTGTCACCGCCCCTGGCCCAGACTTTTTAAAAATTTTGATTCCAGGCCAGGCGTGGTAGCTCATGCCTGTGATCCCAGCACTTTGGGAGGGGAGGCAGCATTACTTGAGGCCAGGAGTTTGAGACCAGCCTGGCCAACATGGGTAAACCTCTTTACTAAAAATAAAAATAAATAAATTTAAAAAAAAACAAAAAAAAACCTAGCTGGGCATGGTGGTGCACGCCTGTAATCCCAGCTACTCAGGAGGCTAAGGCAGGAGAATCGCTTGAACCTGGGGAGGCAGAGCTTGCAGTGATCTGAGATTGTACCACAGCAGAGTGAGCCTATCTCAAAAACAAATAAATAAATAGATTCCAATGAAGGAGTTGGAATACATTTTTTGAGACAGTCTTGCTCTGTTGCCCAGGCTGGAGTGCAGTGGTACGATCTCTTCTGGCTCTTTAATGCTCTTTTGGCTGAGGGTGGATGGAAACAAGAAAATAGCTTCATGGAGGTTAAATTTAAGTCTTTAGGGATAACAGACTTTGAAAAAGAGGAAAGTGAGCAAAGATTCAGGGAAAGCAAGCAGAAAAAAGCAGAGAAAGGAAAAGGCAGGAAGATATGGTAAAGACAGGAAAACATCTGAAAAACAAGTCACTTTAGGTAGTGTATGGGACTAACAACAGATAAAGCAGAGAAAGTTGGGGTGACTTTTTGAACCAGTAACTGACAAAACCAGTCTTATGCTTCAGGATGATTCACCTGGCAATGGTAGGCAGAAGTAAATGCTGTAGGCAGGAGACTGGAGGCAGAAGGTCAGTTAAGAGGTTCTTGCAATAGACAAGGATGATAATGAAGGCCTGAGCCAGGAAAGTGACAGTGGAAACAGTAAGACTATTAGCCAACATTTTAAGTTAAAACTTGAAGTTGCTACTGACCCCAATCTTCCCAGGCAAGTAGCAGGCCATGCCAGGTGAAAATAATTTAAAATGTTATGCTATTTCAAATAAAGCTTTTCTGAAACAGAATTAAGAAAAAGTGAGCTCAGCCAAATCCATGTTGAGTTTAGCACCATCACTACCCTTCGGGCCTTGTACTCTCACCAAGGCACTCAGCCAACTGTGGAAAAGAAATATACACAGGAGACTCAAGAAACATCTTATTAATACAGTATTTATTTGTCTTTTCTCTGTCAAACCCTGAGCCAACCACGTTCCCCAGGCCGCCTGGGAGGTATAGGAAAAGGAACACACAGGGCCGACCAGACACGGGAGAAAGAACTATGGGAGGTGGAGACGGCTCCTTCACATGGCGAAGAGGATGAGAAAGGCCACCATCAGGCAAAAGAGCCCCATGGCCTCTGAGAGGGCAAAGCCCAGAATGGCGTAGGAGAAGAGCTGCTGCTTCAGAGAAGGGTTCCTGGAGAAGGAGAGGAGAGAAGACTGAAATTCTAGTTCACACAAAGAAAAGGACAAATATCTAAGATGGGCTCAGGGAGAATTCTCCTCTTTATCTTACATAAGGAAGCTTTTAGGGTAACACCATCATGCCCAAGTTCTTGCCCTGATTCCCCAAAGGCTCTATAAGAACTGAATGAAGGGGGAGCAGACAATCTAAAATCCTGTAACATGGCCCAGGTATAATCATGACCTTCTCTAATGGTTCACCCATCTCATTACCACAAATTAAGACCTCTTGGCCTAGACACTTAATATCCAGGGTCCAAATAGGATGGAAGAGGCATCCAGAGTGGAAGGGTCTATCTAGAGCAGTGTTTTCAAACTTTAAGCAGAACTCCAATATAGTAAACATCCAAAAGTCAAACTGCAATGGTACAAAAGTAGGGGAAATTTTAACAGCTTGGTCTCCCCTTTATTCACTAAGACAGTCTCTGGGGCACATCCTCAGAATCCAAGGGATTTATGGAACACAATTAGAACACCGCTCTTCTAGAAGACCAGAGAGTAAGAAGGACAGATTATGTTCTCTCATTTCAAATAGTCAAAAGATTCGGGGCTTTAAGAAGCTACAAATGGGCTGGGTGCAGTGGCTCACCCCTGTAATCCCAGCACTTTGGGAGGCCAAGGCAGGCAGATCACTTGAAGCCAGAAGTTGGAGACCAGCCTGGCCAACATGGTGAAATCCCGTCTCTACTAAAAGTACAAAAATTAGGCTAGGTGCGGTGGCTCGCGCCTGTAATCCCAGCACTTTGGGAGGCTGAGACAAGTAGATCGCTTGAGGTCAGGAGTTCGAGATCAGCCTGGCCAACGTGGTGAAACCGCCTCTACTAAAAATACAAAACTTGCCGGGCGCAGTGGCTCACGCCTGTAATCCCAGCACTTTGGGAGGCCAAGGCAGGTGGATCACAAGGTCAGGAGATCGAGACCATCCTAGCTAACACGGTGAAACCCCATCTATACTAAAAATACAAAAAATTAGTCAGGCATGGTGGCAGGTACTTGTAGTCCCAGCTACTCAGGAGGCTGAGACAGGAGAATGGCGTGAACCCGGGAGGCGGAGGATGCAGTGAGCCAAGACTGCACAGTTGTATTCCAGCCTGGGTGACAGAGCGAGACCCGTCTCAAAAAAAACAAAAAACAAAAAACCAACACACACACTCACAAAAAACCCAAAGATTAGCTGGGGGTAGCAGTGCATGCCTGTAATCCCAGCTACTTGGGAGGCTGAGACAGGAGAATCATTTGAACCCGGGAAGCAGAGATTGCAGTGGGCTGGGATTATGCCGCTGCACTTCAGTCTGGGAAACAGTGAGACTCCATCTCAAAAAAAAAAAAAAGTTACAAATGGTTTATGGGGTTTATTAATTGTAGTAGTATGGATAAAGGACTCTCAATGTTGAAGGCCCATATATAACCTGTATTTCCCTTACTCTGATACCTCCAGAAGTCTTAATGGGTAAGGTAAATCAACATCAACATTTAACAGAATAGTGAATAAAGCAGCAGTCAGACTTCTTAATACAAATTCGTAAAAAGAACTCTATTTCCCAAAAGACATTAAGATAACTTGCTGGTCTCTAGAGGACTAATTTGGTTTTAACTTTGAGTTATCCAGAGCTGGGAGTACTAAACAGTCCCAGACGTCAGAAACCAGGGGCTGGCTGCAGTGCCAGTTTTCCCAGAAGTGACAGAGGGAAATTCCCAGAGATGGGGAAAAACAGCAGTAAAGTCACTATGTTCACTGAGTCTCTAGAACAGGGAAGGTAAACATTTTCTGTAAAGGGCCACATTGTAAATAATTTTAGGTTTTGCAGGCCACATATAGTCTCTTTTGCTTTAAAACAAAAATGAAACCTTTTAAAAATGTGAAACCAATTTTTTTTTGAGGAAAAAAAAAAAAAGAGTTTCACTCTTTTGCCCAGGCTGGAATGCAGTGGCGTGACTGCTACTCACTGCAACCTCTGCCTCCTGGGTTCAAGTGATTTTCCTGCCTCAGCCTCCTGAGTAGCTGGGAACACAGGCATCTGCCACCACGCCTGGCTAATTTTTGTATTTTTAGTAGAGAAGGGGTTTCACCATGTTGGCCAGGCTGGTCTCGAACTCCTGACCTCATGATCTGCCCGCCTCAGCCTCCCAAAGTGCTGGGATTACACGCGTAAGGCACCACACCCGGCCATGAAATTATTTTTAGCTCAATCATACAAAACCAGGCTATGGCCCATATTTGGCCCTTAGGCCTTAGTTTGCCAACACATGCTCTAGACCAAAGCTGTTCATAAAACTTTCTTCAACGACACAATGATATAAATATTCTTTTATATATATATGCATTTGTTTGTTTGTTTGTTTTTTCAGATACAGTCTCACTCTGTTGCCCAGACTGGAATGCAGTGGCAACATCCTGGCTCATGGCAACCTCCACCTCCTGGGTTCAAGCAATTCTCCTGTCCAGCCTCCCGAGTAGCTGGAACTACAGGCGCCCATCACAATGCCTGGATAATTTTTGTATTTTTAGTAGAGACAGAGTTTCACCATATTGACCAGGTTGGTCTCAAACTCCTGATGTCAGGTGATCCACTCGCCTTGATCTCCCAAAGTGCAGGATTACAGGCATGAACCACCTTGCCCAGCCTATATTTGTTTTTCTTTCTGCTTTTTTTCTTCCCCCCAAAGTCTCACTCTGTCACCTAGGCTGGAGTATAGTGGCATGATCTTGGCTCACGGCTCACTGCAACCTCCACCTCCCGGGTTCAAACGATTCTCCTGCCGCAGCCTCCTGAACAGCTGGGATTACAGGCACATGCCTCCATGCCCAGCTAATTTTTGTATTTTTAGTAGAGATGGGGTTTCGTCATGTTGGCCAGGCTGGTCTTGAACTCCGGACCTCAAGTGATCCGCCTGCCCCGGCCTCCCAAAGTGCTGGGATTAGTGAGCCACTGTGCCCAGCCAAGCATTCTATATTTGCATTGTTGAATATAGTAGCCTCTAGCCACATCTGGCTACTGAGCACTTGAAATATGGTTAGTGTGACTGAAGAACGGAAAACCTAAACTATGTATTTTTAATTAATTAAAACTAAAATTCAGGCCAGGCACAGTGGCTCACGCCTGTAATCCTGGCAGTTTGGAAGGCCGAAGTGGGTGGATCACTTGAGGTCAGGAGTTAAAACAGCCTGGCCAACATGGCGAAACCCCATCTCTACTAAAAACACAAAAATTAGCTGGGTGTCATTGTGCGCGCCTATAATCCCAGCTACTTGGGAGGCTGAGGTACAAGAATCGCTTGAACCCAGAGGCAGAAGTGGCAGTGAGTTGAGATTACGCCACTACACTCCAGCCTGGGCGACAGAGCGTGACTGTCTCAAAATAAACAACCAACATGTAGCTAGTGGCTACAGAGTGGGATAGTACAGTTCTAGACCCCCAAATATTTTCTGACCTTTGGAAAGCATATCAGATAACCAGTGGAGGGCCCAACTTATCTTACCTGGCATAACCGATGATGAGGCTCCCAAACACAGTCCCAATCCCAGCCCCAGAGCCAGCCACCCCAACTGTGGCAGCCCCAGCTCCAATGAACTTGGCTGCTGTGTCGATGTCCCTTGAAATGGCGCTGGTTTGGAAGCTGCGGCTAGAGACAAGTGAGGTAAGGGGACGTGAGACTGCCAAGCTGCTGAGGCTCTGTGAAAAAGAGGCAGGTAGAAGGTAAAGTTTTTTGCTTTAGTAACTTTTTTACCATTTAAAACCTTTATGCTGCCAAATCCCATTGTTTCTCCCCCAAACGGAAAACTGTTTAACCCCCTAAAATGCTGGCAAGCAGAACCTTTTAATGTAGGATATAGACTTCAAATGCCATGAAGATTCAGGTGTGGTCAAGAAGTGTAAGACTGAGGCCCTAGTCTATTCTTGCTGCCCCAAGGAGATAATCTTCCTAGGACTAAATGCTTCCAACTGAAGTCAGTTGACTAGGCCAAGTAACAGCAGTTAGCAGCAGTGCACAAGGGCATGTGCTACCAGTGGCAAAAGTTGGAGCACTATAGCATACAGCATATTAACATTCTCCATCTCCAACTAAAGCCCATGGCCTTGGCTATTCGTGAATTTTAGCCTGTGATGACTGTCCTCAGCATTCTACCTCCTGGTTCTGGCAGGTAACCCTCCCCACCCATCACCCCCAAAACCACAGTCCCAACTCCACCAGTAAGGTACCTCATCTGTCAGTATCTCCGGTCGTTTCAGCACCACTGCAGATAGCGGACGGCTCAGCAGCTGTGAGGTGCTCTTGACCTAGCAGGAATGACATACAGGGGCAGGAAGGTCAATGAAGACTGGAGAGGAGTTTCAGAACTATGCCACGTTGTTATATCATCAGACAGGATTTTCTTTCCTCTGATGGCCTTCCCATCTTCACACATACATTAGAATTCTGGATCATTCTTCCTTTTAGCAAAGTCTAAATTAAAGAACCACACCATTTCTCTTGCTTCTCAGACTTTGCTTTAAAGAAAGAAAGTCTACTTCCTTTTGGGCTACAAGGGAGCATCCACCCTTGCTGTATCCTTTTATAGCTCTTGAGAATAAGAAGAAATCTAAGTCTCAGAAGCATTTGCCTCACTCAACAAGGGAGATATACACAGATGCTCCTCAACTTCCCATAGGGTTATGTGCCAATAAATCCATCACACATTGAAAAACCATTTAATACTGCTAACCTACCAAATACCATAGTCTGGCCTAGCCTAGCCTTCAATGTGCTCAAAAAGCTTACATTAGCTTATAGTTAGGTGAAATCACCTAGCAACACAGTACGCTGTAGAGTGCTGGTTGTTTACCCTTGTGACTGGGCAGGTGACTGGGAGCTGTGGCTTGCTGCTGTAGTATTGCAACAGAGTATTGTACCACACATTGCGAGCCTGGGAAAAGATAAAGATTAGTAATTCGAAGTATGGCTTTTTTGTTTTGTTTTGAGACAGAGTCTTGCTCTATCACCAGGCTGGAATGCAGTGGCGTGATCTCAGCTCAGCTCGCTGCAACCTCCACCTCCCAGGTTCAAGCAATTCTCCTGCCTCAGCCTCCTGAGTAGCTGGGACTACAGGCACCCACAACCACGCCCAGCTAATTTTTGTATTTTTAGTAGAGACAGGTTTTCACCATATTGGCCAGGCTGGTTTTGAATTCCTGACCTCAGGTGATCCACCCACCTCGGCCTCCCAAGGTGCTGGGATTACAGGCATGAGCCATCACGCCCACCCCGAAGTATGGTTTCTAATGAATACATATCATTTTTGCATCATCATAAAGTTAAAAAAAAAATCTTAAGTCAAATCATCTAAAGTTGGGGGCCATCTGTACGGGTAATGGTCAGCCCACAAGAAAGAAGCCAGTAACTTTCCCTGAACACATCCTTTTGGAAAACAGGAACAAAGATTCATGCTCAAAATTTGTCTCCTTCTGGTAGCCTTTTCTGACTAACCCCAACCCAGTGACACCAAAATAGACACATGGTGATTAACGGCCAGGGCTTTAGGCATCAGATAAAGTGAGATGCAAATCTTATCAGCAGTGTACTCTCAGGATAAGTCGCTTAAACCTTTCTAAGCCTGTATTCTCATTTATGAAATCAAAATATCATCTCTCAGGGTTGATTTGAAGAGTAAATGAGATTATGTATACCAATCAGTAAACTCAGTGCGAAGGCACATGATAAATGCTAAATAAATGGTACTCTTTTTTATTTGTGAATGAACCAACCGCCTCCTCTAACTACTATTTAAAATATTTCTTCCATACTGTTGTTTCTGAGTCAAATACTTTTCCAATGTGTATTTATGTAAATTTTAGCTTCCTATCCAAATTTAAGTCCCATAATGAACTCTTTAGCTCTGTATCACTCAGGACAAGATCCTACACACAGTGCATACTCAGTCCAAGTTATGTAATCTACTTATGTTTACCACTCTGGATGGCCAGTTTACATGACATATAGTTTCAGGAGTAGGAATAACTTGATCTTGGTCTAGATTCTCATCTGTATTCTTCTCCTAAGATGGCTGGTTAATAATTAACTGGCTACAGCCAGGCACGGTGGTTCATGCCTGTAATACCAGCAATTTAGGAGGCCGAGGAGGGCGGATCACCTGAGGTTGGGAGTTCAAGACCAGCCTGACCAACACGGAGAGACCCTGTCTCTACTCAAATCATGAGGTCAGGAGTTTGAGACCAGCCTGGCCAACATGGTGAAACCCCATCTCTACTAAAAATACAAAAATTAGCTGGGTGTGGTGGCAGGTGCCTGTAATCCCAGCTACTCGGGAGTCAGAGGCAGGAGAATCGCTTGAACCTGGGAGGCGGAGGTTGTGGTGGATCACACCATTGCAGCCTGGGCAACAAGAGCGAAACTCTGTCTCAAAAAAAGAAAAAAAAGAAAAAAGAATTAACTGACCACCAAGGGATATGGGGCAGGAGAGTATCTAGCAAGCATTCACTCTCCCCTGTTAGGCAATCATAGCAAAGGGCCTTCCCTCACCAAGAATCTTTCTTACTTATTCACTTATTTATTTTTTGAGACAGAGTCTTGCTCTGTCGCCCTGGCTGGAGTGCAGTGGTGTGATCTTGGCTCACTGCAACCTCCACCTCCAGCTATTCTCTTGCCTCAGCCTCCTGAGTAGCTGGGATTACAGGCACCCGCCACCACGCCCAACTGGTTTTTGTATTTTTAGTAGAGATGGGGTTTCACCATGTTGGCCAGGCTGGTTTTGAACTCCTGGCCTCAAGTGATATGCCCGCCTGGACCTCCTCTCCCCCAGCCTTGCTGTGAAGAACAAGATCTGATGGAAAGAGAGACAAGATGTCTCTCCTTTAAAACTCTCCCAGAAAAACAGGTACTCACCAAGGAGGGAGTGGAGATGAACCTGGAGCAGGCGAACATTTTCAGGGGGTGAGGGGCTGTGGCAGGAGAGCTGGAATTATAGAAGCAGTATTGTAAACACTCTCCTCATTCACTAAACTATATCCTTATTAGCAGAAAAGGGGCCCTAGAAAGCTTAACTGGCCCAGAAAACAGTGACTGACCTTAAGTCATCGGCAGAAATAGAATTAAAACCCTGAAGTCATGACTTCTTCCAGAAACCCCACACAGCTCCCAAGATTTCCTTATAACCAAGTGACTTCCCCTGGTCTCAACAAGTGATCACTTGGGATTTGCAGTTGCCACACGAATTTTCCCAGAGTGTCTTTTGCCTAAGTTCTCCTTAGTTTTTATGCAAAACGAACCCTTCTCAAGACTTCATCATCTGGATCTTTAAAAGTTGCCCTTTAGGGTGGGCACGTGGTTCACGCCTGTAATCCCAGCACTTTGGGAGGCCAAGGTGGGCGAATCATGAGGTCAGGAGTTCAAGACCAGCCTGACCAACACAGTGAAACCCCATCTCTACTAAAAATACAAAAATTAGCCAGGTGTGGTGGTGCATGCCTATAATCCCAGCTACTCAGGAGGCTGAAGCAAGAGAATTGCTTGAATCCAGGAGGCAGAGGCTGCAGTGAGCAGAGACCACACCACTGCACTCCAGCCTGGGTGACAGAGCATGAGTCTCAAAAAGACAAACAAACAAAAAAGTTGCCCTTTAGATTCTTTGTAGTTTTGGGAGATATTTGTTGAAGGCCAAGACACTGGAAGGTCTCCAACAATCTCTTTGCTGATCCCTGGAAGTATCCAATTCCTCAAAATACTTCAATTTCCTGTATTAATAAGATGAGGAAGATCAAGGAAGAACTCTGCTATTAGTCTATCTAAAAGGTATTAGTGGCCGGGTGCGGTGGTTCACACCTGTAATCCCAGCACTTTGGGAGGCTAAGGCAGGCGGATCACAAGGTCAGGAGTTCGAGACCAGCCTGACCAAGATGGAGAAACCCTGTCTCTACTAAAAATACAAAATTAGTCAGGTGTGGTGGTGCATGTCTGTAATCCCAGCTACTGAGGAGGCTGAGGCAGGAGAATCGCTTGAATCCGGGTGGCAGAGGCTGCGGTGAGCCAAAATTGCGCCATTGCACTCCAGCCTGGGCAACAGGAGGGAAACTCCGTCTCAAAAAAAAAAAAAAAAAAAAAAGTATTAAATTGTGTCTCCCCAAGATCTAAAGAAGTCCTGACACCCTATAGGTAACTAAGTTGGTAGAAGTGAACTTACCTGAAACAGAAGGTGAGTTAAAAACCTAAAGGCAGGGGGGTTTCTCCAAGTGAAGTGAGCAGCCCATCTGAACCAGAATTATCTGGGTGGTGTATGTATTAAAAAATGCATATTCTAGGGCCCAACTTGGACCTTCCTGGTCAAGATCTCTGGGGGAGCTAGGTTCAGTGGCTCACTCCTGTAATCCCAACATTTTGAGAAGCTGGGGCAGAGAGATAACTTGAAGCCAGGAGTTTAAGACCAGCCTGGGCAAACAGCAAGACCTCGGCTCTACAAAAAATAAAATTAGTCAGGTGAGGTGGAAGTGCACCTGTAGTCCCAGCTACTCCAGAAGCTGAGGCAGGAGGACTGCTTCAGCCCAGGAGTTGGAGGGTTCAGTGAGCTATGACCATGCCACTGTACTTCAGTATGGGCAACAACGTGAAACTCCGTCTACAAACAAACAAAAATGATCTCTCGGAATAAGGCTCAAGTGCCCTGTATTTCAAACAAGTTTCCCACATGATTATTATATATACTTAACGCAAGAGCGTGACCTTAAACCCAGTCTTGAAACTGCAGTAGTGGTAGAGGATAGACTTGAACTTGGATCTTTTAAGTTACATGCTTTCTAATGTCACAGGCTGAAATACTCAGTGAATGCTTAGGCCTATTAAATGCCACTTCCTTAAATGAACTGAACTCAGATTGTCCCAGGTTAAAACACTTCTGAATCCAAGATCTTAATTGCTTTTGTAGTGACAGTGTCATTATAAAAAATTTTGTTGCCCAGGCTGGTGTGGAACTCCTGGCATCAAACGATCTTCCCACCTTGGTCTCCCAATGTTGGGATTACAGGTATGAGCCACCACACCCAGCCTTAATTACTTTTAGGTTAATGGATGTCTTCAACTCTTGTCCTATCTAGAACTCTGATTTTTGCCTATAGGTAACTCTAACCCAATTTTGCTGCTGTACTATTCACGTTTTGTTGAGTCAAAATCCAATAGTTCTTTAAGGCTTTTAGAAAAAGAAGGGGTGTTTTTTTCTAAGGGAATTATACCATATTATCATCTTTGTAAAATGCAACTCTTAGGGGGATTAAGTATGTTCATTTACAAATTAACATACACAAAGAGTTTAATGTGGTGCTGGCATGTAACAAACCCACAACAAAGGGTGGCAATTAAGTGATCCCACCATTGGCTATCTAATCATGGCAAGTCTGCAATTGTTAGCCTACAACTTGGGCAAAGGTACTATCCAGAATCAGAACTCCTAAATCATCACGGGCTTTTTGCTCAATGTAGATGAGTCACAGGGGTGGTGACTTAACTATTCCTTTCCTTAAACTATCTTTTCCCTGTAACAGCAGAATCTGGGGAGGTTAATTAATCCTTGACAGGAAGGCTGGCAGGCAGGGACTCATGCTGGCCCCACTAGCTTGGCCTTACCCCACCTTTCTGGGCCTGCTGCCTCAACAGAAACCGTCATCTCTAGCCCACCACTTTTGACTTTTCCAACTTCACCAGCGTACCAGGATGCGAGAAACGTACTGGTAAACAACTAGTGATTCCAAAGCAACCAGCCTCTCTCTTCGGCCTTAGCTATCCTCAAGCCACAACCTAACGGGAGGCGATGTTTTGGCTTTTTTTTTTTTTTTTTTCCCCACTTCTACCATGTTCAAGGTTTACTTTTTAAATTGAGGGGTGCTGACTAGAGGGATTGGTGACTTTAGACGATCCACTATCTCCATTGCTCGGAGCACCTGAGGTCCTGGGACCGAAAGTCTGGAGACTTCAGAATAAAGAAGGCACAAGCCAGGATGAGAAGAGAAAGCACAGACAGGAGGGGAGGGCCTGGGGGTTGTGACAATCTGAAAGGGCCAGAGGCCGAGAAAAGAGTGTCCGTAGGGGCTGGGTGGAACAGGTGAAAAGCAGCACTCCAAGATCTAACTTTGGCCAGCGCCAAGGCACCCTCCCCCAACAAGACATCCAAGATGGCGCCAGGCCCGCGCGGTTGGAGGTCACCGGCACGCGGAAGACCCAGTTCTAAGGCGCAGGGGTAGCGGGAGCCAGGGAGGAAGCGAGGACAAGGGTGGGAGCAAGCAAGGTAAGAGCCTCAAAGCATCCGCGCGAGGTGGGGTGTCCCGCGCGCGTGCGCGGCGCACAGAGGGCACTAGGTCCCAAGGCCTTACCTTCTCCCAGTGCAGAGAAGACAGAGAGGGGCGGAACAGCGGGAATAGCGAAAGGAAGGCTCAGCGCATGCGTGGCCTGGGCCAACGAGTCGCTCCACCACGGATAGAGTGATTGCAACATAGAGGATCAGCTCAGGCATTACAGCGCCGCCTGCCAGGGCTGTGGCGGTATCCGGCCAGTTGCTCCACCTGGCGTTCGAGAAGAGAAACTACAGCGAGCGCCGACAGTGCAGAAATGAGGCCAACTCCGCAGAGTAAGCGGATCCGTAACGTGGCCGGCGGTTCGGTCTGTACCACGTTTGGGATCGCGGACTTGCGCCCCCTTTCCGAGCATGCGCAGTCACACTGCCAAGACAACAAAACTCCTACTCAGAATTCAGTGTTAACATACAGTCAGGAATGGGGTTCAGTGCCTAAAATGCAGCAGGAGGAAGATCTTGGGAGTCCTGCTTTCTGTCGCGCCGGGACCCTGGCATCACTGGATGGCAAACCGGCTCAATGGGCGAATAGTCAGCAAAATGCCGCAGCTGCTTCTGGTGGCTTCGCCCTTTCCCCCCCTTCCCGTTTCCTCCTTTCCATTCTGGTAATAAACCATGAGAAAGCAGCAACAGCGAGCCAGAAGATAGGGCTAAATATGATCCGAATCTCTCTTTCCTGGGTCCTGGGACAGTCTAGGAATAACGGGCACTCGCGACTCGCTGTAATGTTGCATGGTCACTCCAGGCTTACCCGAACCTCTGCTCAGGTTTCAACTAGCGAGTTGGGATAAGCAGCGCCCCACTCCCCCGCCCCCATGCTCTCCTGAACGCCCCTCTTCTCTCCCCTTTCGCTCGTCCTTCCCCTGATGGAAGGAGGTGGGGGGCTTCCTGGCCCCTCATCTTTCCTAGGCCTCCTTGTCTCACAGATAGGACCTGCCCTGCCCTTTGGAGCAGGGCGACAAGGCATATCCAGTTCCAAACCTCTGCCGTCCCTGCATCGTGCTCGAACGCAGCACGAGAAAGACGGGAAAAACTCACCAAACCCCATAAAAAATAAAAAATAAAAAGAAAGCCGCGGTCGTAAATAAAGGCAAATCCGCCACCCTCTGAGGGGCCGTTTGTCCTCCCCTCCTTGGCCCCGTCCTTCCCGCCGCCCCCTCCCGGCTCCCGGGCCCCGCGGCGCCCCGGCCCCGAGCTCCTCCATTTAATCGGATTTGGGAGAAGGGGAGGATAAATCACGGCAGCAGCTTTACGGTCCCGGAGGAGAGGCGAGCCGCAGCCAGGCACACCCCGGCCGGCGATAAAAACCGCCGCTGAAAGCCCACGGAGCAATTTCCCGGGACCCCGAGCGACGCCATTACAGGAATGTAATTTTGCCCGGATGAGGCCCCGAGTTTAATTATCCTCGCGGAGGAATTTCAATGCGGCCAATCCATCTTGCAGGCGGGCGGCAGAGGGATTTATATGGGCCCGTTATTTCACACCGATCCTCCATCTGCATTTTTATGGCCCTGAGCTCCTGAAAGGGAGGGGAAAGAGTGGGGAGAAATAGGAGAAGCAGGCGAGAAGAGGAGGGTGGTGGACTGCCCGTCTTTCCTAAATTCACGTTTCCAGCTCCATTAGGATTCTCACAGGTTCCTCTGAAATCCCCAAATCTCCAGTTCTAGTTGTTGATTACGCCCCGAGCGGGTAGGTAGGTGGGAAATGGAACTAGGATCCTTGGGAATCAATCAACAGGTATTTATCAAGTACCAAGTGGTGCCAGGCACTGTGGAGATGCTGTTAGGAGAAAGACAGGCTAGCAAAGACACAAGTTTATCCCCTGAGGTCTCCAGACATCTCCACTTGCACCAAAACGGAATTCTTTTAAGTTGTCGGCTTCACATCCTCAGTGGCAGAGAAAGTCCACCGTTCTTAGGGGCCACCACCCCCAAACGGCTGTTGCAGCTGTTGCGACAATTTGGACACTCAGATCTGGCTAACAATCCCAGAGGAGGATCAGAGAAGGGGCCTGGGAGGAAGCTAAAGCTGGCTCTTTCCAAAAGTTACAGCCTGCGATGTTTAACACTCCCTTACCCTTATAGAATAATGGGTTCTGCGTTCAGACAAATCTGGGTTCCCAAATCGCTGTGTGACCTTGAGCTAGCTGTTTAACCCCCTTTAAATCTATTTCCTCCTATGTAAATTGGGAAGAATAATAGTACTTACCACACAGTCAATATTGGGATAATACATATGAAGCTTTTAGCAAGGTACTTGGTACCCAGTAAGAGTTCAGTAATTGCTAGCATCAAAATCATCATCGTCACCACCATTACCATCACCACCACCATCATCATCACTGCTTCTATAGTTAAGGGCACTGCAACTCAATTCTACACTGCTACCTATATAGACTGTTTATTGCAAGGTCCTTGAGATAATATCTCCTGAAAGAGACTCAACTACACTTTAAAAACGGTTTCACCTGCATAAATCATACAAAACAAGTTATTTTACTTGCTGGTGAGTGGAGATCTGAGGAGAGGCTGAGAATCCTGGGACTATTACTACGAGACTTGAAGCAAGAAATCAAATCCGCAAGGGAGCAGTGAGGCTACAAAAAGGAGGTTTGTAAGGGGAGGGGTGAATTTGAAGACAACGAAAGATCCAAGAGAAGCTTAGCTGAAGGTCGGGTGATCTTCTTAACTATGGGCTTGGGGAAGGGTCCCTCTTTCACTTCACAAGGGGAAAACTGGGCTCCAGGAAGGAAAGGGTGTGGAGAGAGAACTATCCTTTCCAATCAGTCCCTTTCTTTTCCTACCAGACCATATAACAAGGTTGGCCTGATTGGCCAGTTTTTTAAAATGACTGTGAGTGGCAGATTCTGACTGGTTGGCAGCCTCCCTGCACAGTGGTGACGAAGAAATGAGATTGATCTTTTCTTTCTTAGGATTGGTTAACAACCCTCAGGGGAGGCCAGAGACTCATTTTAATTGACTGGATAGGCTAGGAGAGAGGTTCAGCTTCTCTCTTATGGAAAGTCCAAGTGTCCTTTTCTACAAAGGTCACCAAGGAAGGGTTTTGATTGGTTTATATATGTTTCTTTGGACAAGAAGCCATAGCTTAGAGCAGAAAAATCAAGATAATTGTGCAGGCATGCCACAATGAGAAAGAGCCACAGAAAGAAACAGTAGTGATTTTAAAAACGAGAGACAGAGAGAGAGAGAGAGGGAGAGAGAGAGACAGACAGACACCAGGGCACGAGAAATGCAAAGAAAAGAAAGATATTGCTAGAGAGAAGAGGAAGGGTTTAAATGGCTTGATTTCCATTCCTGATGGCTTAAGATGAGGATACTTTATGATGTGTTTTGCTAGATGTACATGTTGCCAGCAAGTGGCATGGATAGAACAGCTGTCTTCCAGGCAGGAGACTGGGAGTCTAGTCCCAGCCCTGCTACTAAATAGTTGAATAGCTATGCAAGTTACTTCATCTCTCGAAGCTTCAGTTTCCTCATTTGGAAAAATCAGGGAGAGAAGTAGGTGATCTCTAATATTCCATCCAGTGTTAACTTTCCAGGATTCTCTTTCTTTCTGCTAAACAGGCACTTTCCTGCAAGTTAAAGTGAAGCCTTTGCACTGCCAAAACTTCTTACATATTGAGCTTCTCTATTTATTTGTGATTGTTAATTTCAAGCTCCTGGGCTGTGATGGGCTGGTGGGAACTGACTGATAGATTTTCTACTTTTCCTTGCTAAATCAGTTCCCTAAGACATCAGGACTGTGAGACATAGGCAAACCTCCCTACTTCTAGAGAAAGAAAACAGTAGATAAAGGAAGGGAAAGGATCACTGGTATCCAGGCTTCTGAGGGAGGAATCAGTGGGAGAGATGGTGGCAGAGGGATGGCCAAAAAAGTTTTTGCTGGGGAAGAACTTCAACTTCCTTTGAATTTGTTTATTTTTAATTTATTTTTATTTTATTTTATTTTTTGGAGACAGGGTTTTGTTCTGTTGCCCAGGCTGGAGTGCAGTGACACAATCATGGTTCACTGCAGCCTTGACCTCCTGGGCTCAATTGATCCACCTGCCTCAGCCTCGCAAGTAGCTGGGACTACAGGCAGGCGCCACCATGCCGGTTAATTTTTGTATTTTTTGTAGAGATGGGGTTTCACTATGTTGCCCAGGCTGGCCTTGAACTCCTGAGCTCAAGCGATCTGCCTACCTCAACCTCCCAAAATTCTGGGATTACAGGCGTGAGCCACCATGCCTGGCCACAACCAATATTTATTGAGCATCTACTATGTGCAAAGTATTGTGCTACGTATTGTGAATGGGTATTAAAAAGGAGAAAACATACTCCTTTGTCTTCATAAATTTAAAATCAGTAAGAGAGACATGTACACATATAACTATATTATGCAGCAGGATTTAATAGGCTCTATGAGTAATAGGAGTTGTGAAAGCAGTATAACTTCCAGCTAGAATAGTCAAGAGGGCAACATAATTAAAGTAGGTTTTTTCCTTTTAAGAAATTAGCTGGGCGTGGTGGCTCATGCCTGCAATCCCAGCACTTTGGGAAGCCGAGGCAGGGAGATTGCATGAGCCCAGGAGTTTGAGACCAGCCTGGGCAATATAGAGAGACCCCATTGCTACAAAAAATAAAAACAAAACGTTTGAAAAAAGAAAATTATGAAATATTTGATTCATACAAAATAATGCAAGTAATGTATATCCACTTATTCAACACATATATTTTGAGCATCTACTATGTGCTAGGCACTGTTTTTGGTGTTGGGGACACAGGCGTGAACAAAGCAAGACAACTTTTCCAGAACTGATATTTTATATAAACTATGAAGCTTAGTAACAAAAGGAACACCCTTTTTTTTTTTTCTTTTGAGATGGGGTCTCGCTCTGTCGCCCAGGCTGGAGTGCAGTGGCCGGATCTCAGCTCACTGCAAGCTCCGCCTCCCGGGTTTAGGCCATTCTCCTGCCTCAGCCTCCCGAGTAGCTGGGACTACAGGCGCCCGCCACCTTGTCCGGCTAGTTTTTGTATTTTTTTAGAAGATACGGGGTTTCACCATGTTAGCCAGGATGGTCTTGATCTCCCGACCTCGTGATCCGCCCGTCTCGGCCTCCCAAAGTGCTGGGATTACAGGCTTGAGCCACCGTGCCCGGCCTAGGAACACCCATTAAACCACACCCTAATTTTTTTTGAGGGGGGATGGAGTTTTGCTCATGTTGCCCATGCTGGAGTGCAGTGGCATGATCTTGGCTCACTGCAACCTTAACTTCCTGGGTTCAAGCAATTCTCCTGCCTCAGCCTCCCAAGTAGCTGGGATTACAGGTGTGCACCACCACACCTGGCTAATTTCCTATTTTTAGAAGAGACGGGAGTTTCACCATGTTTGTCAGGCTGGTCTCAAATTCCTGACCTTAGGTGATCCACCAGTCTTAGCCTCCCAAAGTGCTGGGATTACAGGCATGAGCCACTGTATGCAGCAGCATGCCCTAATTTAAGAAAAGAAAAAGAAAAAAGGCCAGGCATGGTAGCTCATGTCTGTAATCCCAGCACTTTGGCAGGCCAAGGCAGGCGTATCATTTGAGGTCAGGAGTTCAAAATCAGCCTGGCCAACGTGGTGAAACCCCATCTCTATTAAAAATACAAAAATTGGCCGGGCGCTGTGGCCCAAGCCTGTAATCCCAGCACTTTGGGAGGCCAAGACGGGCGGATCATGAGGTCAGGAGATCGAGACCATCCTGGCTAACACGGTGAAACCCTGTCTCTACTAAAAAATACAAAAAACTAGCCGGGCGAGATGGCGGGCGCCTGTAGTCCCAGCTACTCGAGAGGCTGAGGCAGGAGAATGGCGTGAACCTGGGAGGCGGAGCTTGCAGTGAGCTGAGATCTGGCCACTGCACTCCAGCCCAGGCGACAGAGCGAGACTCCGTCCCAAAAATAAAAAAAAACAAAAAAAAACAAACAACCAAAAAAAAAAAAAAATACAAAAATTAGCTGGGCGTGGTGGTGGGCACCTGTAATTCCAGCTACTCAGGAGGCTGAGGCAGGAGAATTGTTTGAGCCTGGGAAGTGGAGGTTACAGTGAGCACAGACTGTGTCACTGCACTCCAGCCTGGGTGATAGAGCAAGACTCCATCTCAAAAAAAAAAAAAAAAAGAAAATTACCAATACTACTGAAGGGCCCCATGTGGTTTCTCTTCTGTGCTAATCCCTGAATCTTGTATTTGCCATGTCCTGGTTTTTATTTATTTATTTTTAACATCTATTATTTATTTTGTCCTTCCTTCTTTTTAAAAAAACATTCTAAGAGTGATATAATACTGTTTGTAGATATCTTTGACTTGCCCTTTTCATTCAACATTATGTTTTGTTCAACATTATTCAGCATTATGTTTCATCTATGTTGATGTATGTAGTTGTAGTTTATTCATTTTCATTGATGTATAGTAACCCACCAATTTATTGACTAATTCTCCTGTTAATGAATATTTGGGCTTGTT